ACGACTACTACTGCACTGCTACTACTACTACTACTACTACTACTACCACCACCACCAATAATTTATGATAAACGATGCCAATAATTTAGTATTAGAAAATGATAGGAGTGACAGTATTCATACTAACAATAGCCAGAAACACGGCAAGGATAACAACAACAAAAATGAATGTGACAATAGTGCTATTGCTGATCATAAAACCTACGACCGCCATTGAAGCTCTCGCCCCCCTATCTTGTTCGTAATCTTATGCATCCTTGCATTGCATCCTCATCAAAAGCCTTATGCACCTTCACATTACAAAGCTGACCAACATAGTAATGACTCCGCAAAGGATTGCTTTTCTGAGAGCTTCGACGAGATTTCAAGCCGACGCAGTTTTCGTCTATGCTTCTCCACACTCAGGAGGGCTCTCAACGCGTCACCCCTCCTGGCAAAAGGTGCTGCGGTGAGGCTGTGCAGTAGCTGTAGCGACAGCAGTAGCAGTAGCGGCACCGGCGGCAGCAGCAGCAGCAGCAGCAGCAGCAGGAGCAGCGGTAGAAGTAACAGTGAGGGTGGTCGGTGGTGGGCATGGCCGTTGTTATTGTTATCTCAGGGCCAATAGATAGTCACTGGATAGACCCTCCTGCATACCCTAAGCCTACCTGAACCTACTTTGTTGCAGGGGTCCCCAAACTTACTATCTTTCAATCTTTTGCGAAGGTTTGAGACCTAAAACCAAAGACAAGGTTCAAAATCCGAAAAATCCCGAACAGCCAAAGCCTAACGGTAACAGTCTATCTGCAGCTGCATCTTAGGCGGTCCTGCAAGGAGCTTAGTAAGCCTCTTCCTTCCCGAAGTTCTTCAGCCGAGAGATCAGCGTGCGCGCTGCTTCTCGGGCCTTGTCGAAGTGATGTTCTTCCGTTTTTGCTAAGCAGGCTTATGCATGGGGTTGAAAGGGCGAGGAACACACACACACACACACATGTGTGTGTGCATGGGCAAGTATATGTATCTGATGATTTTTGAGTCAGTAAGCATGTAAGTAGGCAAGGAAGGACGTACCTACGAACCTGCGGACAGGCATAGGTAGGTATGTATAAATGAACCTATGTGTATACCCACAAACGCGTGGAGAGTTGTTCTGTCCGGGGGGTGCAGGGCCTGAGGCTCTGAGGGTTTCCCTGAACCCCGAAACCCCAAACCCTATAGATCCCTGTAAGGAAGCCCTTCTAGATCCCTTTAAAGGGAACCCTAAACCCCAAATCCGAACCCCAAAGCCCAAACCCTAAGTGTCCAGGGCTTCTGCGGCTCAAAAGAAGCTCGAGACTTGGAAGTTTCGGGCATCGGAGCTGGGGCTTCAGCTGGGGGTTTGGCTTCATGTAGCGGCCTGAATAGTTTGGTGGGTTTCGGGCTTCGTTTTTGTGTAGAATGATATAGGACAGCAGGAGATGGGCATGAAGCTTTCGGACCTCAAAACTGGAGCCAATAGGATTGAGGTTTGGGTTCAAGGCCTTTGTCTTTCCGGCTTTGGGTGTTGAGCTCTGTCGGTAAGCCGGATTGAAGTTTGGGTTCGGCCACGCCGAGTGCTTCAGGTTCGAAGGTGGGGGGTCCCATGCATCCTCTGGGGGTTCCTGAAACGGCTTGCGTAAAGCTGAAGCCTAAACCCTAAACCCTTAGTGCCAATCCAGGCATTCCAAAAAGGAACCTAATTGCCAATATAGTTGCCTTTTCCGCACTCCAACCAAGAGGATTATTAGCGAGCCCAAGCATCAATACAACTACTATTAAGTCTTCCGACCGCTTCCTAATTCTGGGCTTTGAAGGAACCAAGGAGGAAGCAAGTAAAAGATTCTCTTTCATCATGGTTCCTTTAAGGAACAGGTACCCCCAAAAAAGTGTTCAAGTATGGTACTCCGACCCCCGAAACCCTAAATTCTAATTCCTCCAAACGGCCCCGGCCTTCATGCGTTTCGTCTTTCGCCTCGCCTTGATGTAGTTGGATTCGGTCATGGCCGGGAACACGAAGACTGCGCAGCTTTTGGGGTCTTAGGGCGTTTCTTGAGGGTTTGAGGGTGTTAGTGTTTAGGAATTAGGGTTTAGGGCTTTGGGATCATTCCGGGTCTTAGGGTGTTGGTTCAGGTGGGATGGTACAAACCCGGAAAGTTAAAGGCGACCTACTCAGTAATAAGGAGCTGCAAGAAACATGTACAATTGATCTCTTCAAGGTACGTAACATCCATGCAAGGGGACCGGTCTCAATACGTTATGCTCCTGTGTTTCTTTTTGGTCCCTACTCAATCTCATGGCAGAAGTATGACAGTGCTTGCGGGCTTAGGGTGTAGCGGTTTTGATGTAGAAGACCTCAGAATATCCTTCGTTGGAGGCTGTGGCAACTAAGAACCCTACCTCCCGACCCACCCC